CAATGTTTTTCTATGTCCATGTATCATTATTATTTACTTTGTGTTTTTCTTTAAATCAATTTGTTTTTCTTAAAAAATTAGTTTTGTCCTAAGTAAAAATATTCATGAATCAGATTTGATGTGCTAGTTAAATTTTACAATAAAAACGTGTACCATATACAATTATTTTTACATGTTGTACACTTTGTGAGTGTAGAATAGGTGATCTCTGAGGTCCCTCCCGGCTAACATTCTGTCATCCTAGGTTAGTTCCTCCACTTCAGCATTTCACTTGTTCACTAAAGAACACTGGATCAGTGCTGTAAGGAACTTAACCATAACCTTGTAACCATAGAGAAGTATTTATTAAGATCTGCGCCATGATATTCTGCTTCTTAAAATCCAAAATAGACAGTGAAATTTATAAATTCAACACAAATTGCTGTTAGACAGGAACATATAAAATATTTGTAGGGTATAAAAGTGAGTGATGTGGTATATGATGTGAAGGGAGTAACTAATTTTAATGCAGTTCTGAGAATAGAGAGAAGGAAGAATAAAAAAAACAAATTCACTCTCATTTTGTTAATTGGGAAAACTTTAATTTTTCGAGACTGTCTGAAAACCCAAATGAAGTGAAGAAGAGTTGCAAAGATGAGGGTAATCAGCCACAGAATACAGTTTGAGGAATATGTTTTGGAAGTATGAATGATGCCATAAAGAGAAAAGGTAACCCTAAATCGAATGAACAGGGTAGGCAGGAAAAGAGAATTCAATACAAAAGTCCCCCCTTAACTGCAGGGGATATGTTCCAAGACCCTCAGTGGATGCCTGAAACTGTGGATAGGACTGAACCCTACATGTACAAAGTTTTTTCCTACACGTACATACCTATGACTAAGTTTAATTTATAAATGACACACAGTGAGAGATTAATAACAATAAAATAGAACAATTACAACAATATACTGGAATGAAAGTTACGGTCGACCTTAGCAACCTCAGCATATGATTTTATTTCCTTATTAAATGGGAACTTTCACCTTATCACTTAAAGGAAGCACTTTACGGCTTCTCTTTGGCATATCGGAATTGCCAGCATCCCTACTCTTGTGCTTTGGGGCCATCATTAAGTAAAACAAGTTACTTGAACAGAAGCACTGCGATACCTCAGTAGTCGATCTGAGAACTGAGATAGTTTCTAAGAGACTAATGGCTGGGTAGTGCCTACAGCGTGGACACACTGGACAAAGGGATGATTCACGTCCTGGAGGGGACAGAGCAGGATGATGTGAGATTTCACCACATTATGCAGAACGGCACACAATTTAAAACTTACGAATTCATGTTTATTTCTGGAATTTTCCATGTAATATTTTTGGACCATTGTTGACTGCGGGTAACTGAAACTTTAGAAGTGAACTCAAGGATAAGGGGGCACTGCTGTATTCTCAAATGTCATGCCAAAATTCAGAATGGCACGGTGAATGGCTTTTAGGCAGGGAAAAAAAAAATGCCCTACCAGAAGTTACATTCGATGCGTATGATTCCAATTCCTGATGAGTAAGGGCAAAACTCTCAATTATTTCAACTGCAATGTTTTTCGGTAGTGGACACTTTCTAGAGAAAATATTAAAAACTAGAAAACTTTGAGTTTTCATTCAAAACATACTTTTCATTAAATTTTTAAGGATATAATTCATTCAGCTCAAAATTTTTAGCAAGAAAAAAGATTATCCAGGTTATATTCATTTGCCTATTTAAAACCAAAAATAAACAACAACAAACTTTTAAAGGTCGTGATTGCAAAAATTCCCTTTAAAAGCTGCCCAAATAATCACCGCTCAAAGTATGGGAATAAGTCTAGTAGATAATACAATATTCCTATTTAGCAATGTGAGAAAATTATTTCTTTTTAGAATGAAGAAATTACTTTTCACGAATGTGATTTATTTTGGGTTCAGGCAGCTACCACTTTAACACCCAGCTGACTAAAGAGAATGAACTTAAGAAGGAGGGTGAAGTGACTGGTGGTCTCATATGGAAAGTCTTTATCCAGAAAATTATTTCTCAAGTCACTAGTATGAAGGAGACTCGAAACGACTCTGACAGGCTCTTAAAATTTTTAGTTTTTAAACTTACAAATTGAATACATAGCTTTATATAAACATGTAAATTATATGTGACAACTTTCAGCTTTGTGAATTTATACTTTAAGCCACAAGTGTACACATTTCTTTCTCTTAGATTTGAATGTTGTCTTAAAAGATTAATTTATGGAAAGCTACATCAATATAAGGAGTATATGTAAATCCATAAACTCAATGCCATGAATAAAAATTCTCTCTTGTGGATACTTGTATCTTCAGTCAACAGAGCCAAAAGTTACAGGAAAAGGAATATACATCCCAAAATTTCATTTTTAATTTATAGGGATGCTGCTGTGTTAATTATAGGGTAAACCTGACTCACCTAATTTGCTTCTCCATTGGGATTAACATTTGGTCTTAACTATTTATTTTCATTTAAATTCTTAATGAGTATTGACTTTTCGGTAAACCAATCTGCTTCCCAGGAGGACTGAAGCCATTTGATTTTTATCAGCTTTTTCAAATTTACATAACTTGTGCTAATTTTTAGGTATTAAAATTCCTTTAAAAAATTAATCACAGTAGTTTGGGAAATATATTAAACTGCTTGCAAAAGGCAGTAAGTCTGACAAAACAAGCAAAGTAAGGTTTATGGTAAAGTGCCAGAAATTAAGTCAGTCAATGCTTTGTAAATCAGATTCAAAAATGAGGAACAGAGTGTATGGAAAGAAAAATACCTACATATACTACACCTGCCAACAGTTGAGCAATCACCAAACAAGAGGCCCGGTGAGACTGAGAAACTGGTTAATATGTGATGACACACATTCAGAGAAATCTAAGAAAGGTGACTTAAAATGGTAAACCCAGCAAATTTACAAGCAGGAAGGGGAGAGGTTTTGAGCAGAGCACAGTGACTTTCATGTTTTGGAGTACAGGGCAAATGTTTTGGAATTTCAAAAGTAGTAACTCATTGCAAGGTGAACATATAAAAGCAAGCGAAAGAAGGACCCACCACTACGCTTCACGGCTGCCCAGAATTCAGCTGTAGTGCTGATGGACACCACTATCAGGTGTGTACTCTCAGAACTGAACCGTGGTTCAGGTTACCAGAGTTCAGTGGAAATGTCTGTCTTTGATGGGAAAAAATCCAAAAGTAGTTAGAAAAATTTCTTTTTAGATAGTTTGTTTTTCCAAAGAAGTTTGTTAAGCTACAAATATAGACCAGCTACCTCAGCAATTTATGGTCAGTCATACTTCTTGGAGAGCTGAGTCAAAGCAAAAAGAAGTTTTTATTGGCCAACCTGTCAGTGAGATGTGGCCTTAAGCTGCAGATTCATCAAAAAGTACAAAATTATGTGGTTCTAAAACTTGGATTTAATGTCTCGAGTAATTTCATTACAACCTCTTTGATTACTAACACCAGATCAAATGTAAAGCCGTAAAATGCAGAATTAAATCAAGGTATTACTTGCTTCCTGAAAATCAAATTCCTGGAGCTGGAGGTATATCAAAAAAGTACAAAAACAGAATTACCAAGAAGGTAGGTGAATGGCTGGGTTATGGAGCCAAGAAAAACACCCCAAGGACACAGCTTAGATTTTCATGTAACATGGCGTCATGGGAACATCACCAGAATGGAAGCCAAAGAACTTGGATTCCACTCCTGTCTGCTACAACTAGTTTTGTGACTTTGGCTTAATAACAACCTAAGTTTCTATTTCTACAAGAAACTTAGAAAACTAGAGGGTTTAGACCAGATGGTTTCTAAGGTTCTCCTCCATTTAAACTCTCATAATTTTGTCTTCTAAGAAACATCTGTTTCAGACCGCCCTACCTGGAATGTTACAATCAGATGGAATGAAGTCGAGGAACACAGGTAGGCACGTATGACAAAATAGTAGAGATAAAAATGATTCGTTTTGAAAATACTTGTTGCTGCCACCATTCTCAAAATATACTAAATTCCAACGGTTCTTGAAGTGGCAAAATCATAGGTCATAAATTGGTCTTTTCAACTGTAACAATATTCCTCAACAACCATATTGTTTGTTAGCAGCAGTGTTTATTAAATGAGGCCAATCATATACAAAATTCTATCTTCTTGACACTATTTAAGAAGTTGCTATTAAATTGTGTAGTTGTGTCTTCCCCTCCCCCCAATTCATATGTTGCAGTCCTAGGCCCCAGTACCTCAAGACGTGACCTTATTTGGGGATAGGGTTTTTACCACGTTAAAATGAGGTATTAGGGGGAGCCCTACTCCAACATGACTGGGGTCCTTGTAAAAAGGGGAAATTTGGTGACAGACTTGCATACAAGGAGCACATGATGTCAACATGAAGACTGCTATCCACAAGCCAAAGAGAAAGGATGGGAACAGATCTTTCCCTGACAGCCCTCAGAGGGAACAACTATGCCTTCATTGCCCAATTTTGAACTTTTAGCCTCTAGAACTGTGAGGTAACAAATCTGTTGTTTAAGCCATTCAGTTTGTGGTAATTTGTTATGGCAGTCACACGAAACTAATATAGAAGCTAAGATTTAGACATTATCATGCCAGCAGTCCCTTATCTCCCAGATTTTCCTAATTCTACATTAATACTTCAGTAGGTTTTCTCAGTCGATAAAAGATTTGACATGAGAAGTTGGGGCATGAGGGGCCGGCCCCACAGCCGAGTGGTTAAGTTTGCGTGCTCCACTTTGGTGGCCCAAGGTTTTGCCAGTTTGGATCCTGGGCACAGACATGGCACCACTCATCAAGCCGTGTTGAGGCGGCGTCACACATAGCACAACCAGAAGGACCTACAGCTAGAATATACAACTATGTACTAGGGAGCTTTGGGGAGAAGAAGAAGAAGAAAAAAAAAAAAAGTTGGGGCATGACTTTGCAGTTGCATAACTGAAAATGAAATGTGAACAGGTTATGAATGAGTTATGAAAAGTTACTTTATTGCATAACCCCTTACCCGTCCTCCCTACCCTCATCTTAAATTATTTAACTCATAGAGAAGAGCTAAAATAAAGTAAGAATCAAAAAAAAAACAGACTACCAAGAAAACTGGATCTTTCCTTCCTACGATAACACTGGACTCCTAGTGTTATTAAAAGAATCAGACTGATGGAGAGTCTACTGATGACCCTGAGGATAATCACTGATGGTGACTGCGAAAGCAGGGTCTGGGCTCTTAGGAATGGGAGTATTGGTGGACTAATTGTACATTATATTGCCTTTTAGTTCTGGTAGTGCAGTATTTTAATGACTTCATACACGAAAAACTGAGCTAATCTTGAGTTTAAAACAGAAAAAGTTAATAGCACCTTTGGTCATGAAGGAAAACTGTAGTCTAGTTTCTTTAGTCTGTCTGTTTCTTATCAATTCATGAAATCAGAGCACATGCAAGAAATAAGATAGCCACCAAGAGTGGTTCAAACTATGAACTACCATGCATTGAAAATACCACATTTAGGATACAATTATTTACTAAAAAATGCAGCAATGCCAAGAAAATTGGACAATTAAAAAAATCTTATTTGTTAAAGGTAATTCTCATAAGCTGTGTTTAAAATCATCCATTTTAACATCTCCAAAAAAGTCAAATTTATTATTTTACATTAACATTATGGAAGTTAAGGAGAACAATCAAGTTGTCTCATGGACTGGAAGGTGACTTATTAACTCCCTTTCATTTCCAAACCTCATCAAGCAGTCACTACATTTATGAGGTAAGTCAGCCGAATGCTTGAAATCTAGATGAATTTTAAGATCTTCAATTTGTCCTGTTGAATATTCACAGTATTGACATAAATAAATGCCTTCAGATAAATGTGAATTTAAATGTTTGCAATATTCTAGCATACTTGAAAAGCCTTTCCCACAGTCATCACAAACATGAGGAAAAATTTTAGTATGTTCAATAGCAACATGCCTGTTAACATTGGTATGAAGTCTACTCCGAAAACCACACACTTGACAGACAAAGAAGTTTTTACATTTATCAAAGGTAATTTTGCTTAAGAGGCTGTACTGTCCGTGTTCTCCATTGTTATACTTATCACTTAACTCTATTAATTTACATGCATGTTCATTTACCACATGGCTATGCAAGTCTTCTGGGTCATTCGTCTCATGTTCACAGAACTGACACAAGTACTGTTCGTCACAGCTGTGCTCCTGGAAATGGAGATAGAGTTCACTGCTTGAGGAGAACTGCACATCGCACTGCTCGCACCAATAAAGGTGGTCACTAAAATGGGTGTCTGCAATGTGCTGGCTGAGGTTCTCAAAGATCACCGTCTTATAATCGCAGTATTTACAAATGTAGGGATCCTCTTCGTGCAGTTTGGCGTGCTCGATCAGAAGCATGTTGGTAGAGAAACTTTCCTTGCACACTCGACACACATTTGAATCAGTGCGCTTATGCTTCAGGATCATATGCTGCTTTAAATCGGAAAAATATTTGCTGTTGAACTCGCACAGTTCACATTTATAGAGGCCGCTGCTATTAGCTCTCAGTAAAGGCCATTTCTGCTGGGCAGTCACATTCAAGGCCTGGCTCTTGTCGAGGACTTTGCAGAGTTTAGCCGGGGGCTCTTCATCAGTCTGGTCTTGGAGACTCTCAGAGGAGTTGTTTTCTGTCTCTATATCATAGTCTTCGGAAATGGCATGCACTTCTGCAGCAATCGGAACGTCCTCGGCAGCGTGAACCTCCAGAGGGCTCTCCTCTTGAGTCTGCTGGCTGACCGATTCAGGAGAGTCACACTCTTCATCGCAAATTTCAATATCAGCAGATTTTTCTGAAAAATAAAACAAGCCTAATATTACTATTACTATATAAGACCTATTAAATAACTGGCAAAAAGAAATTTATTTTATGCATTATTTTTTCAGTGATCTACACAAAACATGCAAATGCTATTAACTAGTTTCCCTACCTGTAGAAAAGGCAGTGTGGTCTAGAATCCTAAGTACAGGACTGGGGACCAGGTAATTCTGATTTCTGTTTCTGGCCTTGATTCCATCTGCAAATTTTGGCAAGTCATTTGATGGCTCTGTGTCAGAATCATCATCTGGAAAAGGGATTTGGAAAAATACTTATTATTCATATCAAAGCATGAAACATCAATTACTATAAAACAAAGCACCAAATGTTTTAAATAATTTTGAATTCCAACAGGAACTAAGGACTTACATTTAGCCACAAAAAGAGATGTTATCTATGTACCAAAGACACACAGAAGATCTGTCCAAACAGTTACTGCCTTTGCTTCCCTGCCCCGTCTGGACTAGAATACACTTCTTAAATTTACTTAAGTTTTTTTTTTTTTTTTTAAAGAAAGATTAGCCCTGAGCTAGCTACTGCCAATCCTCTTTTTTGCTGAGGAAGACTGGCCCTGAGCTAACATCCATGCCCACCTTCCTCTACTTTATATGTGGGATGCCTGCCACAGCATGGCTTTTGCCAAGCGGTGCTGTGTCCGCACCCAGGATCTGAACAGGCGAACCCGGGGCCGCTGAGAAGCGGAACGTGTGAACTTAACTTCTGCGCCATCAGACCTGCCCCCTACTTAGGAATTTTCAGTGCGAACTACTGAGTTTGAATAACGCTTTATTCCCTCAGCCCAGTCCCAACGTTTTAAAGTCATCACGGGGAAACTGAAATAAGGTCAGTAGAATAAAATGGGTTTCACATCACATCGTTGTTGTTAACTGACTTTATTTTCAGAAGTTTTAGATTTACAGGAAAAATTGAGAATACAGGAATTTCCATATATCCTGCATTCAGTTTCTCCACTATTAACATTTTACATTACTATGGTACATTTGTTACAATTAATGACCAATATTGATAAATTGTTATTAACTGAAGTCCATACTTCTTCCAGATTTCCTTAGTTTTTACCTAATGTTCTTTTTCTGTTCCAGGATCCCATCCAGAAGACCACATGACATTTAGTTGTCATGTCTCTCTAGGCTATTGGTAGCCGTGGCAGTTTCTCAGGCTTTCCTTGTTTTGATGACCAAGTTTTGAGGAGTACTGGTCAGGTATTTTCTAGGATGCCCCACAAATGTCTGTTGTTTTTTTCATGACTAGACTGGGATTATGGTTTACTGGCAGGTAGACCACAGAGGCAAACTGTCATTTTCATAGCATCATACCAAGGGTACGTACTATTAACATGATTTATTACTGCTGATGTTGACCTTGATCACCTGGTTGAGGTAGCATTTCCCAGGTTTCTCCACTGTAAAGTCACTCTCTCACTTTCCATACTTTGGAAGGAAGTCACTATGTGCAGCCCACACTTACGGAGTTGGGGGTGATGGTCCACCTCCTTGAGGCAGGGGTACTTACATAAACAATTTGAAATTCTTCTGTACAGAAGATTTGTCTCTTCTCTCCATTTATTATTTATTCAATCATTTATTTATATCAGTATGAACTCAGGGATATTTATTTTATACTTTGGGTTATAATTAAATTTTTTCCCTCGCATTATTTCAGCTTTGGCTATTGAGAGCTCTTTCAGTTGACTCCTGTGCTCCTCTGGCATTCCTGTATCAAACGTGGGTGTGTGTGTTTTGAGTACTTATTTTCTGGCACAACATGCTCCAGGCTCATCTTGTAAATTTCCGGTAGAATCAGCTGTTTCTCTAAGAAGCACTAGTACCTTTTATTGGAGACTGGTATCAGAAACCAAGGTCTGGGCACTAGATGTGGTCACTGCTACCGAGGTGTCATTTCTTTTAGGCCCTCTCAGCTAACACAGCAGAAGATAGGTGTGTGTACACTACGATGTACATACAGACATATCTATAAACATTTCTGTATGTAACCATATATATCTTTTTTTTTTTTTTAAAGATTTTACTTTTCCTTTTTCTCCCCAAAGCCCCCTGGTACATAGTCATGTATTCTTAGTTGTGGTTCCTTCTAGTTGTGGCATGTGGGACGCCACCTCAGCATGGCTTGATGAGTGGTGCCATGTCTGCGCCGAGGATTTGAACCGGTGAAACCCCGGGCTGCCAAAGCAGAGCACGCGAACTTAATCACTCGGCCACGGGGCTGGCCCCAATCTATATTGAGCCAAATATGAGTTCACACTGATGTCTCTGACTCTACATGTTTTTTTATAATTTGTTTTAGTGCCTGTGACAGGAGCTCAAGTGAACTGGAGTTTCAGTGGTTGCAGAGAACAAACGTAAGTTGTTATCATCCCCCTAATGCTCCAGAAAAGAGGAGTCAATAGAAGAAGCAAGATCAAAAAAGACCATATCCCTCACCCTCTGTTCTTTCCTTCCATTGGCCCCCAGACTTAAAGGTATAGTTGAGCGGAAGAACCGTGTAGAATACTATTCTCAACCTTTCACCATAAATGCTCCCAACTTGGCTCACTCCGGCTTTCCCACCAATTCCTAGCCAACTAAAATGGATTTAGGAGAATGTGCTTTTTATTTACACACCTGAAATAATGTTAAAAATTAAAATTCACTTACTCTCTTTCTTCTCCCCCAAATCCTTTTGTTTTCTTACATTATAATAAATTCGAACACTTGCTCATTTTGAAATCATGACTTTCATGCACATTTTCAAATAAGGAACAAATGAAAACACATAAAAGCAATTTAAAAAAATATTTTAGAAAATATTAGATATACCTTTGTTGTCAAAATATTTTAAGTCTGGTTGTCTCATAGAACAGACACTATAACAATGGTCAGAAAAAATTCCATTGAATCCATCTGCAATTCTGCTTATTCCAGAGGAATCTTAATATAAAAGAATTGAAAAAATGTCAAGCATGGAAAACATATATAAATTTCATGACAGCCATCCCTTTATCCAACATACATAAATTTTCATAGTATTTATCATAAACTATTAATATTTCCCTCAATTCTGAAAGCTTTTATATTTCAGATCTGATATGGACATTGAGCTTTGAAAGAACCACAAATTATACAACCTAAAATATAATACTTTGAAGCACACAAAGATATGTTTGCCTTACAGTCAGAATCCCACAAAACGTAAATATGTGATAAATGCATTAACTGCAAAAAACACTGAAAAAAAGTCATTTCAAGTCTTGCCTGGGAGGGCCCAGTACATAGTAAACCAGGCTTAATTTCCTCAGCTATGAAGACTGTGTCAGTTGGGTGGGCTAACAGGCATGCCCCAGACTGTCCCAAGTACATGTATGTGGGGTGTATTAGTTAGAGATGGCCACAAAGACCTCTCTTCTTATACCGCCAAAACAGGAGAGCCAACCTCAACCAGAGAATCTAAAATTACACAGTCAAAATCAAAGTTCACGTTTCTGAGAATAACGTACAGGACAAAGACTTTTTTCCCAATGATGCAAAATATCTTCCACCAAGGCTATCACTGTGCCTGAAGGACAAGCTTGGCAATCACACAGGCAAATCTCAATTATGCTGTGTAAGTATGTAACCTTGGATATCTAATTTTAAATATCTATAAACCATAAAGTTGGGAGGATAAAATAAAATAATGTTTGTAAAGTTCTGATATGTGCCTAGCACATGGTAGAGAAGGAGGAATATAGGCAGAGCATTTATTTAAAGTTTTCTCTTACCCAAAAATTGACCCAGATATTTAACTCTTATCCTAACATTTCTGAGAAAATGGATGGAATACAATGGCATGAGAATTAATCCAAAGCCCAACTTTAAAATAACTAAATTATACACTGACCTGAATAACGAGAAGGGTGTAAAGTCTTCCTTTTTCTTTTCTTAGGATATTCATTCATATCTTTTCAATCTAAAAAAAAATTTAACAAGTCAGTCACAAATAATGATTGTTAATATTGTTATAAAAATTATTTCTAACCAGGGGCCAGCCTGGGGGTGTAGTGGTTAAGTTGGCATGCTCCGCTTTGGTGGCCCAGGGTTCACGGGTTTGGATCCCGGGCGTGGACCTACACACCGCTCACCAAGCCATGCTATGATGGCATCCCACATACAAAGTAGAGGAGGATTGGCACAGATGTTAGCTCGGGGACAATCTTCCACACCAAAAAAACCAAAAATTATTTCTAACCAAAGAATTTATTAGCAATAAGAAATGTGTGTGTCATGTGAAAATCTACTTCATAAGGGAAATGTTAAACAATGCCTCTGTTTATATTTTGGATTTACTCTGCTGATCAAGTTTAAAGGCAGGACACTGTTTTCTGGTTTCTTTCTTAGTGAGGTTGAGAACTCTTTTTCAAATGTTGATGTAACTGTGAGAACTGGATAATTACAATGAGCCTGATCCTTAAATTATTTCTTATTAAAAAAAATTGTGCCTGTGGCACCATTTTAAGAGTTTTACAGGTACATTTACAATTGGGAATATTTTGATACAGTATTTAAGCTAAAGGTAGACACATTCCCTTAAAAAATATTGTCACAAATTTGTATTGATCTCCTGGCTTTCAGAAAAAATACTCATCACATAGAAGCTCACAATATAACTTTCAAGAAAAAACCTTTTTCTTACTTATGAGGTCACATTTAACATTCTCTTGAGAAAAGAACAGGTATGGCAACCACTATATGATTAAATTCCCACCAACTGTTATAAAATTGACTAATTAGTTTTACTTCACTTCACTTACTTGGTGTAACTGGAGTGAGGAAAAATGAATTACAGGGAAGTTTTCACAGATGGTAAAAAATGCCTGTAGGAAAAACATGACAAAAGTCACATAAGCAAAAACGCAGCTCATTTCTGAGATTCAAGAATACAGTGGCACCAGATCTTTAATCAACTGGAAAGTTGTGCAACTCCAGTTATACAACTGGAAAGAATTAATTCAAGTATCATATTCTTTTGAATATGCCGTATTACTAAAAATTGTATATATTGATAAATACGTATTTATCTGAACTATGTAAATAAGTTAGTATGTATCATATTCTTTGAAATGAATTTACCTTCTAAAGCTACAGCAATGTCTTACTCCAAAACAGGAATTAAATCTGCACTAATTTATTCAGCCACAATGAAAGCAAATATAATGAAAACAAACATCAAATCAGACTTTAACCTGTTTAGGTCCTTACAGATTTAACAATAGAAGAATAATAACGATCATTTATTGAGCACCAACTATTACTATTCCCCCCTTATCACTGACGAGGAAACTGAGGTATAGCAAAGCTGAGACAAGGGGGATACTTAATAAGTGGTAGGGTTGGGATTTGAAAAAGATCTAACTGATTTTAAAGCTCATGCCTTCAATCCCTTTATTTCAGTTTTGGAAACAAATAGGGAGATAAAGTGATCACCCCAATTCAAACAATAGAGGAGTGTCAGAACTAGAACTCTCTCTTCCATTTCCGATTAGTGTTCCTTCCATTGTAGCACTGCACAGGTAAGGAATGTCAGAAAAAGAAACGCACCGTGAAGTTTTCTCCACCCAGGTTTATATGCTGCTTTTCTTATTACCAAGGTGATACACACAGCAGGTAGAACTTGGCATCATTACTAAGACCATCTCATTTCTAGTAAGGCACTTCGGGTGCACACACTGTTTTTGCTCCTTCACCAAGTTCTGGGTGTATCAGCAGGCCAGGTGATGCGATCACAGGGTAATAAGACAGCACTTGTCAGGTTGTTGAGTATTTTCCTAACCCTTATTTTATTTGACCTTCACAACAATCCTGAGGTACATAGAGGAGCTACTGTCAAACCCATCTCAATCTTGCTGATGAGGAAACAGACTTAGTGAAAGTCAAGTCACCTCAGTGGCAGAACCAGAGATGAAAACACATATCTTCTGACTCCTGGGTTTGGAACTAACTGTATATGAGTAAATCTTCACTGCTAATCACTGCTACCAGCAAGTTACATACTGCTTCCAATTCTTACTCAGCCACCACTTGGGAGGAGAAAGGAATCACCCAAAGAGACTGACAACCATGAGATTTAGAGAAATGATACCAATATATATAATGCCTTGTCTGACAACACAAATAGCATTCCTTGAACTCATCCCAATCAAGTGTATTCAAAAATCAAAAAAAGAAAAGCAATTTTCACATTTAGGTAATAAACTAAAATTTAAAGACTTATTCCTAATACCTCTTTTGTACACTTCTAGAATGTATACAGCCAAAAGCTTTACACTTCATGTTCTAAATGCTCTAAAAGTATCAGGGAGAACAATGGAAAATGTCAGCCAGACATTTTAAAGTAGCCTTTTGTTATTTCAGAATACACTTCAAATCATTTCCAACTCGAAGAACATAAAAGTAAGAAAAGGAAACCAAGCATAGCATCAAAATTAATGTTGCAAGCTGGCCTGGATTCAGACTGTCAGGTGAGACGAACAGGGTCACCCTGGTCAGAAACCGGCTGACTCCTCCTTAGGGCTGAACAATATCCCACCGTTTATCAGACCTCCTTTCAGCATGATGATAAGATGCTCGCTCAAGACCAAAAATGCTAACGGTCCTTCATGTCAGCAAACGTTTTATGTGCCTTTTGTATGCATAACTGCCCTGACGACGAAGTTCGGCTTTTTATTCCGGGATGTCATGGACATTTGCTCACTAGTCTTCGTCTCACCGCGAAGATCCGGAATCACATGTAACTTATCATTCATTCTCCCTTCCCCACTAAACAAACTCCAGACGTAATACATGCCATTGCAGGAAAATTAGAAAAACATTTTTTAAATTAATTAAGTAATCTAGAATCTATTCACCCAGAAAAACCACTGTTAACTTTTTGGTGCACAGACACCTAAACGTTCTCCTATGCTAAGGTATACATATATATTTTACACTTATAAAAATGAGATCATGTCAAACGAAACATTTTTTTAAAAAATAGCAACTTAGAAAATATGTATCTTTTCACTTGTCATTTTTTTCAATAGGAATGTCCATGTACAAAACACACTAGTACACATAATAGGTAGCTCTTATATCAAATAGATGAGTCTTTTAAAAGGCTTTTCATGCAATGTAAATATTCTCTTCCTAATAAGTATTAAAACACATTTACAATAAAAAGCTATATTTTTATGCTAAAGGGTTTTAAAAGCACGTTTCTTCACCCTCATTTTAAAATAAGTATAAACTTTCTAGATTTTAAAAGAATTGGGCTTGAACTAGAAACCCACTATATGTCCAACTTAGCGTCAGTCTTTGTTGAAGTACCATCGTTCTCTCTTTGCAAAGAGAGAAACTGCTTCAAATGACTTGTGTCCCTAGGTTGTACAGAAAAACAAACCAAAAGGGGTTTGTAAGCACCCTAACGAGGGGCTTCGACGGCTGGCTGGAGACTCGGCGCCAGGACCGACGCCCACTGGCTGCCACTGCGGCGAGAGCCCCGGGATGCGCTGCCGGGGGTCCCGATGCCGCGCGGCAGGGCCAGAGGCCAGCGTGGCACCGCCGGGCGTCCGGAGCCCAGCCGCCGCGGGACATGCCGATCGGAGGGGCCCGGGCCCAGCCGCCTCCACCCCCGCGCCAGGGCCGGCGACTAGCGGGGACTCGCCAGCCCGACTCCAAAGGCGCCATGAGGGAAGCAGCAGCAGGGGCCGAGGCGAGCCCGCACCGAGGCGTCCTCCGCAGGGGGTGGGACTGCCCTCGGGATGGGGGAGGGGACCGCCATCCCGCCATCACACGCAGGCAGGGTTTCGGTTTAAAAGCCGCCATCCGCTCTTCCCTGCCCTCTCCTGCTGCCAGCGGCGCCCGCGGCCCGCGCGTCGCGCACTCACCCGTCCCCGGGCCCGCCCGGCCAGCCAGGCGCAGCTCCGAGGCGGCGGCCGCGGCGCCGGAGCGCGAGCGGAGGGACCGCGCGGCCCTGCCTGCGGGCACACGGCGGCGAGCGGCGCCGCTGCGGCCCTCGCGCTCCCGGGCGCTCCGCCGGGCCGGCCCCGCTCCCTCCCGCGCGCCCCACGCCCTGCCCGCCAGGCCCCAGGCCCCGGCTCGGCGGCTGCACTCACCGGCCCGCTCCGCGCCTGCGCCGCGCACCTCAGGGGCCCGCCGACAGGGCGGGGAGGTGACGAGGTAAGAGTGGGGGCAGGGGAACGGGCGGCGCGGCCTCGCCGCACGGGCGGCCTGGGAGGGACCACCGGCCTCCAGCCCCGGGGGTGGCCCGGCGGCCCGCGCCCCCTGCCGGCATCTCTGCGCCGCCGCAGGCCCCTCCCGAGCCGACGGGCGATTCCACCGGCCTCCAGGCGAGGCCGCCCGGGGCACTCCCCACGCCCCCTCCCAGCCCGGGCTCCCGCCCCCGGAGAACCGGGAGAAGCGCACCGCGCCCGCAGCCTTGTGCCCAGCCTGCTCCTCCCGGGCACGTGCGAGAATGGTCTTGCTCGGGTTAGGCAAGGCATATGGCATTTCAAACCCCAGAGTGGCCACAGGCTCCTGGCGACGAAAAGGGCAGCGACCAGGTCCTGGTGTTACTGAGGCCCCGCCAAAGAAACACACAGGGCTGGGATGCTCTCCGCCCTGAGTCATTCTTAGGCTTCAGCCGGATTCCTTGACTCAGGAAATCTTGGTGGAATGCATGAAATTACAGGGAACTGGATTAGATGATCTCATTCCTTTTCCGACCTTGAATTTCTATGAACAAATGTAGAAAGGATTAAATTAAATAAGCATAAATAAACTTGTGAACCCGGTTTCAAAAATGAAGATCTCTGTACAGTGTGGTCGTATGTGGTCTCTTTGATAACGAGTTGAGGTTGTTAGCCCCAATTTACAAATCAGAAAAGTGAGCTTGTGACGGGCCAGAGACTAGGTCTTATTCATTGTTGCAGCCTCAGCACCTGGGTTCAAATAGTTTAAGTGGATGAATGAGGCCCATGTGGATTATCACGAGTCCAAGGTCACTCGGATAGTCAGCGCTGCAATCTGTGTCTTTTAATCCACGTCCACTGTGCTTTTGCTGATTACCACGTGCTACCCAACCAACCGCTGGATGGCAACCATCACAGACCTTACTCTGTTCCCTTCAGCTATCTCCCAGGAGGTAAAGCCGTATTTCTTTCAAGTTTGTGAGGCTCCATTTTTATGACCTCATAACTTTAATGTGTATGCTCAGCCCAAAGGAACGAATGTTTACAAATGCCGGCATGGCTTGAATAAAGTACTAAGAGATTTAGCGGCATCTTTCAATCCTAGTATAGTTAGTATCTGGCACGGAATAGGGAATTGACACACGTTTGTTGAATTTATAAAGAACAGTATGTATCGTTCTCTCCTCTTGGCTGGTTGTGCTGTTTCCCAATCTGTTATACTGGAAGCCACAAGGGGGTGTTATGGGACCATTTTAAGTTACTGTTTTGCTCACGCGTAGCCTTGTGCCAAACAAAATCTTTACATTCTAGGCTGAAGTTTTATTCCAAAACATTTTGTAGTGAGAGGAAACGTCCCAACCCCAGTACATTACTTGAGCAAACAAACCAACCCACACTATTTGCACTTACCCAACGAAGTGAATAAGAACATCACAATGTTTACGTACACGCCATTGAACCTAATCACAAATCAGGCAATTTGATATTCTTCGATTAGCTGGAGTACGATTTCCAGTTTCATCTTTGCGTCTTCCTTTCCTGTCCTTACTGTTAAGGGAGGGCGGTGGCGGCGGGGATAAACCGCTCAAATCTCAAAAGAGTACCGAGTTGTAAAGTTTGTTATATTCTATTATACCTTTGACCGAGGGTGTTGAATCGTCATTCTTCCAACTGTTTGCCACACTTGGAGCGTAGCTTAATTTTTTCCTGATTAGAAAAGGGATACATGTTTGTCGCATAATGGAGACAATAGAAATGTACGAAGAGCAAAAGAAAAATTTATCATAATCCCACAGCCCAGAGGTAACATTTTGCTCACTATCTTTTCATATTTTTATATCTATATCCATATAGAAATTTTTTCAAAATTAGAATATTGTTATTTACAGTATTTTGTAACAGCTTTTTTTCCATGTATTATAGCATGAACATTCCTTATACTATTAATGTTAATGGTGCCTTAGAATTCTACTATAAATGACCATACTGTTAAATAGTGGATGATTAAGTTGTTTCCATCTTAAAACATGCTCTGCCAATTTGGTGAGTAAAATATAGTATTCCATTTTAATTTGCATTTTTTATTTTTTGTGAACTTGAATATTTTCTCATGTGCTTATTGGCCATTTGTATTTCTTTTGTGAATTTTCAGTTTATGTCCTTTGCCCATTTTTCGACAGGCTAGTTATCTTTTTTAAAGAAAATAAACTTTTTAGCTTTTTATCTGAGATATATGTTGTGTATATTTCTTTCTAGTTTGTTTGCTTTTTAATTTTGTTAATGGTACCAACGTTTTAAATTGTTGTGAAATCAAGTCTATTAATCTTTTCCTTTATAGGCTCTATTATTGGCTTTATGCTGAAATCATGTTCTAGCCAAGATCTGGCTGCATTTTTTTAATTTAACTTTTTAGTTTATCTGTAATTTATTTTGGAGTATGAGATGAAGATAACTCTCTCTTTCTCTCTCTGTCATAATCCTTTTTATTTCTCTCCATCTTGTATAACAGCCTGAAATTAAATTTGTAAGTATGAGATAGCTTCATCCGACGCTCAAGTCACTTCTTAAGGCATTGGGTTTTCAATTTTTTTTTTTTAAATGAAGATCTACAGATCTTTTTTTTTTATTTAAAGATTTTATTTTTTTCCTTTTTCTCCCCAAAGCCCCCCAGTACATAGTTGTATATTCTTCGTGGTGGGTCCTTCTAGTTGTGGCATGTGGGACGCTGCCTCAGCGTGGTTTGATGAGCAGTGCCATGTCCGTGCCCAGGATTACGAACCAACGAAACACTGGGCCGCCTGCAGCGGAGTGTGCGAACTTAACCACTTGGCCACGGGGCCAACCCCTGGGTTTTCAAATTTCTTGTTAAGGTCTAGATTTCTGTGCTGTATCCTCAGAGTTTCTAATTGAGTAAGTTTGGGCTGGAACCTGAGTGGCTGCGTTTCTAACAAATTCCCAGGTGATGCTGATGCTGATGCTGCTGGCCCAGGATCACGCTTTGAGAACCACTATCCTAAGGCTTTCCCCACCCAACCCCACATTAGCCAGGTGGTGCTTCTCGCTGTTTCACAGATGGGCTCTCGCTCTTTCTCACCTGTGTGTTACAGCTTGTTTCTTCCACCTGTCAACCCTTTGCTTTGTTTCTGTCTCTAAGATCAAGCTCATAATTTCTCTTCTATGAAATCTGTGATTTACCCTATCAGAGATCTCTGATCACTCTTTAGAGATTCCACAGTATTTGGTACGTTAGTCTCCTTGTCACCAGAGAGGCAATTACTGTGAAAACAATGAAACTTAAGCTTCAAGTCCCCGCAGTTGCATGAACCTCTTCCAAGATGAAGTACTTAATTTTGTATTTACAATTTTATATTCTTTTTCCTAAGTTGTTCCCCCCAATTTGCATAGGCTTGTGTTCTCACAAAATTTGGCTCCACCCCTGTTTAGCATATTATGTCTTCACAGACTTTGAATTCCAGTTTTGTTATATTCCATTCTGCTCCATCTCCCTGCTTAGCATAGTGTCTTGCATAGAGTCTCATTTGTTTTTTAACAAAGTATTCCTTGCATATCTACCTTATGTCCAGCCCTGTACTAGGTACTGGAGATATAGTGTGAGCAAGATAGACATGGTCCTTGCCCTGCTGGTTCTTACAGGAGACTAGAGAAGGTAGGCAATTAAACAGCACTGGAATGTGACGACTACACTTACGTAAGGTAAGTGAAGAGTGTTATGGGAGCACATGACAGACAGCCTAGCTTGGTCTAAGGAGGTTGGGGCAGGTAAAGCGTCTAGGAATTAAACTTGTTGAGTGAATTGATAAACTGTCCTGGCTCCCTAGCCTGCTGACGCTAGTGCAGACCTGACCGGGCATAGACTCCTGACTCAGACGTGAGGCAGCTGCGTGCCGTAGTCTCCTGCCAGAGACCTCACATCCCTAACCGAGACACCTGGACTCCACAATTCTGAGCCACCTACACAGCTGAGGTCCTCCAAGCAGCCAGCCCCGTGCTTTCAAAACCAGCAAGCCTAGATCTAGGCAGCCAGTCAACTCACTCAGACACTTTGCTTTCTTCAAAAGGGACAGACAGTCTTCCAGCTTTAGAAGACTCACTCCATTTCTCCCTCCGTGAACCTCATCTCTGAGAGCCTACCTACACTCTGTCCCGGATCAAGTTTGCTGGCTATAAAGCTTTTTCGCTCGGTGCTCAATTTTCAATTGCTATTAATCTTTAATTTTTCGAGTAAATGGACAAATGAATGAATAAAATCTGACTAGACTTCCTTATTAGAATATTAATGATGATGCCTTCTCCAGGGTTTAGCACTTTTCATTTTCGAGAGTACTGACTTTATTTACAGCATCTGGGAATGAAGGTCAAGTGTTCCATAAATGGATTTGAACTTGCACACACATACCTGTGAAGATCCGAAGGCTGAACCATGTCAAGGGTGATTGAGGTTAATAGATGACGAAAAGGAAGTATTTCCTCAGTGAATAGGTATATTTTTTATCCCTGGGAGAAAACTCACTGACCATTTCAGTCTGCGGTCAGCATTACTACGGTTCAACAATATCCAATTTCTGGTGCTCTCTACTTTCGGGCATACAGGAAATCATACTCCCTTTCCCATTTGAAGGTAGGTGGAGCCATGTGACTTTCTTTGGCCCTAGAAATGTCAGTAGAAGTGTTAGGTGCTGCTTCTTGCATCTCTAGTCCTCTTCTCTGTTTGAACAGCTATCAGGACCCATAGCAGACACAACATGAGCAAGAAACACTTTTGTTAAGTTGATAAGCTTTGGGGATTAGTACTGAAGGCTCACTATTTCTTCAGTCATCACTGACCAATATAAGGGCTAAATTTATACGTTCCTTCATCCAGGGTCTGAGGCTAAAGAACAGAATCTATTAAAATCTATATTCCATTAATGTGCCTTTGGATTTTAAGTTCAATTATTCATTTAAAAAGCATTTATTTTTTATTTTATTTTAGTTTTAAAGATTGGCACCTGAGCTAACAGCTGTTGCCAATCTTTTTTTTTTTTTCTGCTTTTTTTCCCCAA